AATTATAAAATGAAAAAGAACGTCATTTGAGATTTGAGAGGACGTCACCAGTAATATAAGGATAATTTGAAATAAATTAATATATGATAATCAATAGTAGAAGACGTTGCCGAAACCGGCAGACAGCTGGTAAAAGTCTGATAATGGAGAGTCGTCAGAATACATCACGTCCTTCTGATCTTCTACTTCAGCTATCCTGGACGTGTAAGTGTTTCTGATCTGGAATACATTTCGATAGGATGATGATCCATAATTGTATGCAAACCTGAATTTCTCTTAGAGCCACTGAAGCAAAGTCCTCAATGAGGAGTGGCCTAGGATTTTCCATGGATGAGGGAATGATGTGATCTCCGTTAAGTATCGAACTCAAATGCTCTATGTACTTGATGGCCAAACGTAGTGTTTTGATTTTGGGCAACCGGTTTCCTTTAGGAACGCATGAAGGAAGTTGACTGGAAACGGAACGAATTAGGAAAGCATAGGATTACCGAAACTCACTTTTGCAGACTCTCGAATGCTCTGTTGATGTCGAGGTTCCTCCTCTTCTCCTTTTCTGTCGATCGTTGTCTCTTCCTCTCTTGGCCATTAACTTTGGAAGCTTTCACCATGATACACTGAAAAAAGAAGAAGTTAATAAATATCTGAGTAGACTCTAAGTGAGGAACTGTTAAGACATAATGAAACTATGAGAAGAGTAACGGACTAGGATTGTCAATCGTTCCGCCTTCTACTGTATCTGTTTAAGTAGCCCCGCCCACATACAAGCTATGAGCAAACTTGGTTATAAACTTGTTGCATCGAGCAAACTGTTAATAACGATCAACAGAAGACTTTTTATGTTTTACACAACTATATGTTCGAAGTATTACTGAACACATGAATAGAGAAAAGAATAGGAAGCCTTGAGCATATCACTGTTTTTATGCAAAACATACTGCTTACTGTAGTGATTAATGAACACAGGATGGGTATTTCGAAGCATAAGTACCCAATAGATCCGTGTTCATCACCCGAAATACAGAAGAAGATCCTTCCCTGTGGCACAATTTTTCTTTTTGACTTTTCTGTTTAAGGGTCAATAACACGTGAATATGGCTATAAATTTGAGACCGCTTATGCCTCAAGAGAAAGCGGACCATATAGAGGGTGGTAAAGAAGATGTCGGTCTTGTTTCATCTTAATCAAGAATTGCATACGAAAAACTTCAGATAATTGAAACAAAATGTTGAAACAACCATCTTCCAATTAATGCTGAGAAATATAGCTAGAAGCTGACTTTACCTTCTTCGAAAGAACCGACTGTGAAGAGCTCTACGAATTGTATATGTGGAGAAAGGCAGAAGCAAACCATACAGCTGTTTCATCTTACGTCACTGAAGTATATTGTCGGGATTTATCATTAAAACAGTCGGAACTGTCCTTGGAAAGTAAACAGCAGTTAGCGTTGAGCTTTGAAAGAGATCTGAGGTTATTACAGGTGATTAGGAGAGAATACCGAACTTCATAATCCTTTCGCCTTTTTTTGAAGGTGACGTCATCTTGTTTATTTACTCAAAAATTTATGAATAATTGGATTATTCAAGTATCTTAACTAAACAAATAAATTATAATTGACAGTTTACAAAACGATTGTCGAAGGTTACATAACGTTCTTCCCTGAACTCTTATGTAACTTCCAATGTCTTACTCTGCTTTCACCTCTTCATTGTAACATTACGAAATTTATTACTTTAAACTGTATCAGTTCTCATGTATATATAAGATACCCATATATCTCTCTTATACACCCTTTCTCCTCTATAATTACATAACTTCTACTCACTTACTGCAATCCTTATAGCACGTCATCTATGCGGTAGAAGCGCTTTCAAGGCATC